AAAAGTGAAACCATAAAGCTTTTAGAAGAAAACAAAGAAGAATTTCTTCATGACTAGGAGTGTAGGCAAAGAGTTCTAAGACAGAATCTGGAAAATATATCATAATTGGGGGGAAAATCAACCAAGAAAGGCTGAGAAACTATTACAAGTTAAACTAAAGAGACGCAAACACTATATCTGACGTGTATTAACATATCTGGATTGAATTCTAAGCCGGTGGGGGGGACTATGAAGGACCTTTTAAGGCCAATTTGGCAGAACATGAACAATTTATAAATTATATAATAGTGTTGTAACAATAATAAATAGTATCAATTAGATAAAGAATAAATTTCTTGATTTTGATACTTTAAAAAAATAAAATCCCAAAGACTCCCAATGATTGAAAGGAAAAAGGACATCACGTGAGCTGCACAAGCAAGGGATATGCTAGTATGCAAGTTCATGAGCATGCATATAGGAGGTGGGATGGGGTTGAGGGCAGCGTGGTAGATGTGATGAGTCAGCACAGCCAGCTCTGTGTCCCAGGCTTAATGCTTATGAGTTATTTGTTTCAGGAATTTAGATTTCAGGGGAAAGTCCGAGTCACACAGGTGATAGTAGAGGTGCTGAGGAGTGAAACCATGCCTGTTGCAATGTTAGACTGAACCATTTTAAGAGGAGGTATATAGTGCTTACTAGTCAGACAGACATAGATAAGCATCCTGTTTTAATTGTTTATCTCTGCCTTTAAAGATGACATTTAGCCTATCTTGGGCTGGTTTCCTCATCTTTTACATGAAGGTAGTAATAGTACATTCTGGTAACAGTGCATACTTTCTAGTATGGCTGTGAGCTAATACACATAAAGAGTTTAGAATAGGGCCCTTCTCAGTTCAGTAAATGTTTATCATACTCCCTGTATTCTAAATGAATTGACAACAAATTTTCCAACAGATATTTCAAAGTCTAACAGTAAATCCTGTCAACTTTTGGTAGAACCACTCCTCTGTAGATAAATATCTTGATATCAAGATTCCAGCATCTCCAGAATTACCAGAGAAGTTTGTGCTGGCATGTTGTTTGATATATCTGTAAACATTTAGGATAGGAAATTGAATGAAAGAAACCACAGGTGAATGTAAGTTCCGCAAGAATGGAGAATTCATTATGTTTGGTCTCTATTGTATTAGAGACCAAACTGCCTTAGGCCCCACTGCCTAAGGCAAACTAGGGGCTCAATATATTATATATTTGTTGAATAAATGAAAGGAACCAAAGACTTTAAGAAAGAGGAGAAGCAGCTCAGGGAAGGCAAAGAGAGTCATACATGCCTACAAATCCCAGCAGACCTCAGACTCCCCTTCTTCCAAGCATGAAATTCACCCAAGAGAGTATGCTGTAGAACAAAAAAGAAAAAAATCCACCATTCTGTTAAGGCCATTTAAACAGCACGGTTAAAGTGGTCTTCTTCTAATAGACAGCATCCATCATCTCCAGGTGTGGTACAGAATCCTCCTAAGACGTCATGTTCCTATCATCTAAATATTGTACAGGTATAATAAACATCCAGTAAGAAAATCAGATATGGGAACATATGAAAATTCATGGTAAGATATTTCCTGGAAAATATCAGTGGTTTTCAGGTAAAATGTACTTTCTCCAAGATGAGCTTCGAGGGCTATTTTAAAAAACACTCTTCTTTAGGAAACAAAGAGAAGGGGATTGGTGGCTGTAGTGGTAAGAGATGAGTTTCAAAACAGATTTCCCAGAGGCTGAAGCACAGGTAAAGAAATTCAAGGGGAATATATTTCTTCAAGATGGTGAGTATATTCAGTTGGTACTACTGCTATAACAAATCACTACACACAAGATGGCTTAATATAACACAAATTTATCATACAGTCCTGGAAATTGGAAACATGAAAAGGGCTGCACCACAATAAAACCAAGGTGTTGGCAGAGCTGCTTTTCTTCCAGGGTTACTAGGAGACAATCTGTTTGTCTTTTCTAGGTTCTGGAGACAGGATGCACTCCTTGGCTCCTGGCTTTCTTCCATGTTCAAAATCAACAATGGCTTGTATAGTTTTCTCATGCTGTTTCACAGACATAGATTCTCTGCCTCCCTCTTCCACATCTAAAGTACCCTTCTGGTTATATTGGCCAGGAAAATCCACCATAATCTTATGTTAAATTCAGCTGATTAGCAACCTTAATTCCATCCTAAACCCTAATTCTCCCTTCCAGTTGACATATGTTACACGTTCCAAAGAACAGGAGGACAACTTTGGGGTGCAATTAATTGTGAAACACAATTGAGAGTAGCGTTTAAGTGAGTTTTAAAATGGACAGCAGGGCACGGTGGCTCATGCCTGTAATCCTAGCACTCTGGGAGGCCGAGGCAGGCGGATTGCTCAAGGTCAGGAGTTCGAAACCAGCCTAAGCAAGAGCGAGACCCCGTCTCTACTATAAATAGAAATTAATTGTCCAACTAATATATGTAGAAAAAATTAGCTGGGCATGGTGGTATGTGCCTTTAGTCCCAGCTACTCGGGAGGCGGAGGCAGCAGGATTGCTTGAGCCCAGGAGTTTGAGGTTGCTGTGAGCTAGGCTGGTGCCACGGCACTCACTCTGGCCTGGGCAACAAAGTGAGACTCTGTCTCAAAAAAAATATATAATTAAATAAAATGGACAGCAGAAACAGCATCAACTGTGTTTCTAAGGATATTGCTCTGTGTGTCCCATGCAGCAGGCAAGGAGAGGAGGGGCTCAAGAGTAGAGGAAGGATGTGGGGGTGAAAGGAGAGGATCCGAAAACAGCCAGGTTTCTGTCTTACAGAAGATGGTGCACGGGGCGTGGGGGGCGGCAGATACTGTCTTCCCCTGAGAATGTCTGGTGAAACTAGGCAAATGGTGTGACAAGTGGCTGAGATCCAAGCCAGTGGGTATACCTGCTACATTTCCACACAACCAGATACCATGAGGACTTGAATGTGCCTTTTTTTATTATTTTACATTCCTCTTTTTATTATGTCCTACTATTTTTTTTTTTCAGAATAGTGCAGGGGTACAAATGTTTTGGTTAAATGGATTGCTTTTGTACAGCTTGAGTCAAAGTTATAATGTGCACATCACCCAGATAGTGTACATTGTACCCCTTAGGTGTGATTTCACCCATTCAGTCCTCCCTCCTCCCACCTACTTGATTTCCGTAGAATTTTACATTGGTATGTGCTCATGAGTGCTGATCCGTTAGTTCCCTAATGGAGAGTACATGTGGTGTTTGTTTTTCTACTCTTGAGATACTTCACTTAGGACAATGGTGATGTGCCTTTTAAGAGATGGATTAAAAGGTAAAGAAGAGGATTTGAAAACAGTGAAGTTTCTGTCTTAGAGAAGTAGGTGCATGGTGGGGATACTGTCTTCCACTGAGAATGAGTGGCAAAACAAGGCAGGGGGTATGCTGAGATCCAAGCTGGTGGGAATCTTTACTACATTTCCACACAACCAACTATCATGAGGACTTGGATGTGCCTTATAAGGGAAGACTTGACATAGATGAAGAAGATCCAGGACTAGCCCTACCCAGTGCCTGACATTGGCTGTTAGAAAGCTGAGGAGGACTGTGTGACCCCACGCAGGTCGTGACAGGGAAAGGCCCCCTTCCCTGGGCAGCTGGGGACAGCGCAATGCCAAAGTGAGTTACCATTTGGAATGAGAAAAAGCAGTGTGGCAGAATGAATGACTCTTGGCACAGACCAATACTTGATTCCCTAGGGTTAGAGGTCTAGGTCAGTCTTTTTGTAGAAGAGGGGCACTGGTTAGGCCTTTATGGGAGACCCCACCCAGTTCTCTTAAAAGCAGGTGTACTTTTCTCCCTGCTTGGCTCCACCAACCAGTGAAAGAAAAGTATGGGAGGGCCACCATAGAGCCCCAGGGCAGTCTGGCCCAAGACCCCCTCCCCCCTCCCAGCCTGCAGCCCTACACCCCCTCTCCCATTAGCGTTCAGGAGAGAGGCTGAGCTGGCCAGGCAGCGGGTGTAGAGGGGTTGGGGGTTGGGGAGGAGTAGGGGGGGCGGCAATCACTCAGAGTGTGGGGGTGCAGACACACTGAGGGGCTGTTTGGTATCCATCCGCTGCTCCTCATGCGCTGCTGTTCCCGACCTCCCGTGTCCCCCTACGCCCGTGTCCTGCTACGCCCCCCGCCTCCCGCCGGTCCCTTCTATTGTAGCAGCGCCAGAAATGTGGCGGTGGTCGCCACATTAGGGTCCGCGGGGTCCTACTGAGGCAGCCTAGTGCCAGCCCGCCCCTCAGGCCCCGGGCTGATGGTGGCCCCGCCCACCTCTGGGTCGGAACTACGGTGGGCCCGGGAGGGGGCGTCGAGCCCATTCGCGCAGTATCCCTCCGCCCCCCTTCCCGACACCCTCGAGGCGACTGGCTCTTGCCGCATCCTGCGTAGCCCCTGCCCAGTTTGCTGCAGAGGCGCGGGGGGCGGGCCGCCTCTTCGCAATTCTGATCGCACCACAGAAGGCGGTGGGAATCCGGGTGAGGGAGCAGCCAGAGCAGAGCAGACCCAAGCGGAGGAGAGGAGGGGGAGGCCGACGGCCTGGGCCCTGAGCCTGTGAAGGCAAGTGGGGGTGTGGTGGGGGGCGTGGGTGGTCCCCTCCCGCGTCGACCCGCTGGCAGCCTGTCCCCCAGACCCTGGCAACCCGGCGAGGAGGACGCGACGCGATCGGATCCCGTCCCTGAGAAAGGTGCGCAGTGCCCGGGGACCCCTGGCAAAGAGGAGGCGGCGACCTGCGCGGGTCGGGCCTGGCCGAGGGCGGATGGGGTGGCCAGAGAGGCACCGCAGGTTGTCTGGATGGGAACCGCGCTGACCGTGTCCCAGCCAGCTTTGCAGGCGCCGGCGTCCCGCCCTCGACGGTGTCTGTGCCCGGAGAGGGCTGTGTGTGTGTGTGGGGGGGGGCGTGCTGTGGGAGAAATGGCGGAGGGGGAGCCGGGGTGGGGGGCTCCCGGGGACGCCGCCTGGGGCAGGGGCTGGTGTCGGAGCCCTGTGCCCGGCAGCGGGAGGGGGTCGAGTTTGCTACTTCGGGCTCTAATTCCGGAAAGGCGCCCGTTGGGCCCCGTGTCCTGGGTGCTGTCCCTTCCCACAGGCTCAGGTTGATGTCAAAGTCTCCTGTCTGCGTGGTAGGTCTGGCGTATTCTCGCGGGCCACGGTGAGCATCTGTAGACCAGAGGCTTGAGAAAAAGGAGGAGCAGGAAATGGCCTGGATTTCTGGAGGTGTGTGGGGATGGGGGGTGGTCGCCAGGCACTGGCTGGAGATCCGATTCGGGGTGGGGTGACTGTGGCCAGAGCAGGTCAGGCATCCAGGAACATCTCCTAATCTTCCCCTCTCTCACAGCCTTCCAGATACTTCCCCCATCTTCCTCCCCACCCCTCTCAAACTGGGGGGCATGAAAAGATGGGCTTTGGAGGTGGGGGTGATGAGAGAGTCATATTTACAAGCACCACTTCACAACCTGCCTTCTAGAATATGCGGCACCCTTCCCCCATTTTATGCTGCGCATTGAAAGGGGATATAGTGCACCTAGTGGTGGATCCTCAGAATTGGCGAAGGGAGTAATGGGAAGACTATGACGTCAAGTGAAGGAGTTGTTATCTCTGGAACCCTGGCAACAGGGCCTACAGAAGATGAGAATATTCTACCAGCAGGACCCTGAATGTTGAAAGACCAATAATATGGGGACTCCTATCCTTGCTGTTGGTCTGTCTACCAAGTATTCAGCTGCTACCCTCATTTCCTGTCTTACCTTTTCATCTCTTTGTCCATAGGCCTGCTCTAAAGCTGGTCAGTTCTGCAAGAAAGGAAAGGAGGAGGAGACTGGCTCAAACTTCTGGAGTCTGGTGAGAAAGGGGGCAATGCAGGGGATAGCTACAGAGAGAGAGCATGGTGGGTGGCTTTGATCCAAGTGGGTGCAAGACTGCTTCTGCTCTCTGCTAGATTTGCACACTGCCACTGCATCCCTTGTCGATTTCTTGCAGGAAATATCAGGAATATTGAGACAGGTGTAGGTTGCGCTGTGACTGGGAGAAGAAGACCTGCAGGTAGGGACCAGGAGACTGGAAACATTGGACAGACTGGACCTTTGAATGGAAGAGAAATATTTGTCTCAGCAGCCCGCATGTGTGCCTGTCTACCGAACACTCAGACTCCATTCTCTCCTGTATGTTTCCTTGTCTGTAGGACCCCCTGCTGTTGGTTGTGGGGCTTGATACCACTTGAACAAGAGAAGGAGGGAGAAATTGCACCACGTCAGTGAAGGTTGGTATGAGAGTGGGTACACTTCTGGATGGGGTAGCAGAGACCTGCATGGTCTGGGACTCATTAGGGTCCAGTCTGGGGGCTCCTCAGCCCCCCCCCAGTTGCCAACATACTTTCCTACCATCCCTGTACCTCTTTTGTAGCAGGCAGCAGGGCCACAGAGTCTTTCTCATAACCCACCTGTCCCACCCAGCATTCAACACCAGTCTCTCTGTGTAAGTCTCTGCATGGGTGACACAACTGGAAGAGACTCAAAGCCCCATTTCATTCTCTCTCCCTAGATCCACCTCCAGTGGCAGCTCTGGTGGTGGTGGAGTTGCTGCTGACCGCCACCTTCAACAAGTCTCAACCCACCCAAGAACCGGCAATCTTCCTCAGCTTGTTTGTGCCTCTTCTGCACTTTGTCCGTCTTATTGACTGAGTCTGCGTGGGAAGGAGACTGACTGCTGGACTGGCAATTGACTGTAACTCTTGTTTCCAACCTCATATCCTAAATTACTGAAAAAACAGAGTGTGAAGAAACAAACCTGTAACAGATCTGTGGTCAAGGTTGAGGTTGAGGGAGGGCTGTATAACTGCGTTTTGTCTGTAACTTGTACCATGACTGGTGCCGAGATTGAGCCTAGTGCCCAGGCCAAGCCTGAAAAGAAGGCTGGGGAAGAGGCTGTGGCTGGGGCTGAGAGAGAGAATGAAGTCCCTCTCGTTGTCAGGCCCAAGGTTAGGACCCAGACCCAGGTATCTTCTGGGACAAGGTCCAAAACTGAGACCAAGCCTGTGTCTGGGGCAAGGCCTAAAATTGAGGCCCAGGCAATGGCTGGGGCAAGACCCAAAACTGAGGCCCAGGCAATGGCTGGAGCCAGACCTAAAACTGAGGCCCAGGCAATGTCTGGGGCAAGGCCTAAAACTGATGCCAGGGCAGTAGGTGGAGCACGTCCTAAGACTGAGGCCAAGGTAATTCCTGGGGCAAGGCTCAAGGATGAAGCCCCGGCATGGGCCCAGACTGAGTTTGCAGCTGAGGCAATGTCACAGGCCGAGGGAGTGTCCCAGAGTAATGCCGTTGCCTGGCCACTGGTCAGTACTGAGTTGGGGTCAGTTACTAAATCTAAGGGCCTGTCTATGGACAGAGAACTAGTGAATATGGATGCTGAAACCTTTCCTGGCTCCCAGGGTCAGAAAGGAATCCAACCCTGGTTTGGACCAGGGGATGAACCTAACATGGGATCTTGGTGCTATCCCAGGCCCAGGGCCAGAGAGGATGCCTCTAATGAGTCTGGATTTTGGTCAGCAGATGAGACCTCTACGGTGTCTTCTTTCTGGACTGGAGAAGAGACCAGTATCAGGTCATGGCCCAGGGAAGAAGCCAGTACCAGGTCCAGGCACAAGGCTAAGCATCAGACTAACCCCAGGTCCAGGCCCAGATCCAAGCAAGAACCCTATATTGATTCCTGGTCTGGATCTGAGGATGAGGCTGGCAACCCATTCTGCCTCTGGCCTGGGGAAAATACCAATAACTTGTTCAGGCCCAGAGTCAGGGAAGAGGCAAATGTCAGGTCCAAACTCAGGACAAAGAGAGAGGACTGTTTTGAATCTGAGTCTGAAGATGAGTTCTATAAGGAGTCCTGGTTTTTGCATGGAGAAGAGGCCAATAGTAGATTCAGGCGCAGAGACAAGGAAGAGCCTAATACCATCCTGAAATCCAGGGCCCAGAAGGATGTTCATAACGGTGATAGGGTCAAACAAGAGTCTAGGTTTGAGGAGGAGGTCATTATTGGATCCTGGTTCTGGGCAGAAAAAGAGGCCAATTTGGAAGCAGGGGCTACAGCAATCTGTGAATCTGAGCCAGGGGCTGAGGAGGGGGCCATTGGTGGATCCTTGTTCTGGGCTGAGGAAAAGTCCAGTTTGGGGGCTGTGGCCAGAGAAGAGGCCAGGCCAGAGTCTGAAGAAGAGGCCATATTTGGTTCCTGGTTCTGGGACAGAGATGAGGCCTGCTTTGATCTAAATCCTAGTCCTGTGTACAGGGCCAGTAACAGGTTCAGAGATTCAGCTGAGGAGGAGCTTAATGTATCCTCCAGGCCAAAATCCTGGGAAGAGGTCAGTGTTGAATTCAAACCTGCTCCTTGTCCTGGGATTGGCTTCCCTTCCACCAGACCCTTCAGAATTCCTGAAGAGGCATATAAACTGTTTGAGACAAAGCCCAAGGACACAGAACTTAGCCCAGAAGGGGAAGAGCAGGAATCTTCACCTCAAACTGATCAGCCTGACCCTGAGTTCCCATTTCAGTACGAACCTTCCTACAGGTCAGTCCGGGAAATTCGAGAGCATCTTAGGGCCAAGGCGAGTGCAGAGCCAGAGAATTGGTCCTGCAGCTGCATACAATGTGAGCTTAAAATTGGTTCTGAAGAGTTCGAAGAACTCCTTTTATTAATGGAGAAAGTTCGGGATCCTTTTGTTCATGAAATATCTAAAATTGCAATGGGTATGAGAAGTGCTTCTCAATTTACCCGAGATTTCATTCGTGATTCGGGTGTTGTCTCACTTATTGAAACCTTGCTCAATTATCCGTCCTCCCGAGTTAGGACAACTTTTCTGGAAAATATGATTCACATGGCTCCACCTTATCCAAATCTAAACATGATTGAGACATTCATATGTCAGGTGTGTGAGGAAACCCTTGCTCATGGTGTGAATTCCCTTGAGCAGCTGACTGGAATAAGGATGCTTAGACACCTTACTATGACTACTGACTATCATGTATTGATTGCCAATTATATGTCTGGGTTTCTCTCCTTGTTAACCACAGCCAATGCAAGAACAAAATTTCATGTTCTGAAAATGCTACTGAATTTGTCTGACAATCCTGCTGTGGCAAAAAAACTATTCAGTGCCAAAGCTCTTTCAATATTTGTGGGTCTCTTTAACATAGAAGAGACAAATGATAATATCCAAATTGTTATTAAGATGTTTCAGAATATCAGTAACATTATAAAAAGTGGAAGGATGTCCTTAATTGATGATGATTTCAATCTTGAGCCGCTTATTTCCGCATTTCGTGAATTTGAGGAGTTAGCTAAGCAACTACAAGCCCAAATAGACAATCAAAATGATCCTGAGGCGGGACAACAAAGCTAATATGATTACACACTTGCCGCTGATCAGCCTTATGATCCCAAAGAGACCTGAGTAGTGCTTTGGTGTTCACAGTCTGGTTTTATGTTGTAACTTATATTTTTAATGCTGATGTTAAATTTGTCAAACTCTTGTTCTGCGCTGGATCATTTTGTGGATGCCAAATGAATATTAGAACTGTAAACACAGTTGTTGATATTTGTCTTGTCCAGATTGCGATATTTTTCAGTATTAAGCTTCCAATGAGCCGAGTCACCTGAGTAAGCTGCCCTGCTATTCGTTGTTTAAATATATGGTTCTCTATTCGAGTCTGTGTTTTCAATAAAGTTCTATGTTAAAATTGGCATTAATGACCCTTCTTCATTTTAAAAACTAGATGCAAATACATTGTGCATAAGTACAAAGGTGATTAATAGTATGACAAACATACACTCATTAGAAAATACTATTCTTTGAGTTTACGAAGGGAGAGATTACTGTGAGCTGTGGTATTTGAGGAATGTTTCAGAGAAGAGGCACTCACTTAAATTGGTCACTGAAAGGTAGGATAAGGAAGTCTTTAGATTATTGGAAATGGGCAGTGGTAGTATAAACAAAGTGTGTAATTGGAAAATCTTTTCCAGTAGCATGGATTTACCTAGTGTGCCTGAAATAGGTAAGAGGAGTTTGGTGAGAAAGGCAGTGGGCAAGTTGGGATGAGGCCAGTTTGGGGAACCGAGTATGTCAAATACGTACATTTTACAATTCAAAGTACAGGTGTTGCTTCAATGCCACTTAAAGGCTGAAAGATTAATAAAATGTGGTATATGTATACCATGGAGTAATATTCAGCTCTAAGAAACAATGGTGATATAGCACATCTTATATTTTCCTGGTTAGAGCTGGAACCCATACTACTAAGTGAAGTATCCCAAGAATGGAAAAACAAGCTCCACATATACTCACCAGCAAACTGGTATTAACTGAGCAGCACCTAAGTGGACACATAGGAACTACAGTAATTGGGTATTGAGCAGGGGGTAGGTGGGCGGGTATATACATACATAATGAGTGAGATGTGCACCATCTGGGGGATGGTCACGCTGGAAACTCAGACTTGTGGGGGGAGGGGGGAAAGGGCATTTTTTTGAAACCTTAAAATTTGTACCCCCATAATATGCCGAAATAAAAAAAAAGTAATATCTTGGTTTCCAGAAAAAAAAAAGAATAGAATAGCACACCAATTAAATGAAGCCAGGAGTAGGATCTCCTTTAAGTTCCTAGACGAAAGAAAGTGGGAAATACAACATAGCCATTGAAATGTTTGGTTTACTGACATTAAATTATATTGATTATTTTATATTCAGTGAAATAGATAAGAATGTGACATCATCTATAGAAAATTAGATAACATGTTAAAATGTGTGTAAATAGATGCAATTTCAATATGACTTTCTAAGCAACCTATATTCCACAGTCTGGAATAAAATATACCATTTTAAAAAATTATTTAGAACAGGCATTGGGAAAATATAAAAATTAGATACAAAAAACAATATGCTTACAGTACCTTCAGTTATAGACTGGCATGCTGGAAAGGATATAGTCATAAAAATAAAAAAAACTATAAATATTACAAATTTTTAGAGAAGAAATCATTTAGAAAAGTTGTAAATGAATGAGATTTTAGAAAGACTAGCATTTTATATGAAATGTTTCAAGAAAAATTAAATTACGAAGTTTGCTAAATTTATATTAATCTGTTCATGCTACAAAAAATGGCAGCTTTTTCACATGATTGTTACATTCAAAAGACCATAACATTTCCTTTGGAGGTGACAACAAAGTTCCAGAGTTAGTAGTGATGGTTGCACAACATTGTGAATGTACCGCTGAATTATAGACTTTAAAACGGTTAAAATAATAAATTTTATGTTATGAGTATTTTGCCGCAGTAGTTTTTTTTAAAACCACACCATAACTTCAGGCAAGAGAATCGGAAAAGTCAGGTATAGAGCTGGTTGGGAGAGGGAATTCAGACATCTGGGAAATACCAAATGTTTTATTATTTTTAGACATGGTGAAATGTTACTTCTTTTTTGTCTGAGGACGCTGTAAATTTTCAAAAAAGTAAAATTAAGACTCATGTAAATTAAAAATGAACATGTGAAAGACTTTTTCACAATTAACGAACAACTGCAAAGATTAAGAAAACGGTTGAAGGAGATTTGTGTATACAATGTACACAATATAAAGATATAACCAAAATATATGTACATTAAATTGCATACACATAGGAAGTTAATAAATTAGAACAACATTGCATTAAATACAAAACTGGTTAATATCGTACAGAGCAACAACTTGAAATATTTAAGGTTTTCTGTTCCATTGGACAGAAGTCATTTCCAAATTTATTGAACAAATAATCTGCAAGTTAACATCAGTCACTACAGAATTGATAGTTCAATCAGTAGAAAGCCCAGCACTGTACTGAAATAATATCCAGTAACCTACGTTAACTTTACCCAAGTTTTGTATAATTTTTCTAACAGTGCAACATGTTTTTTCCCACCTGACGGTAGTATGCTAAGATTTATCAAAGTAGGGACAAATGGCAGTTTTGCCTCACTTCACAAACCACAAATGGTGGTGGAGATTGGAGTTTGAATGTTTGTTTTGGTTATGGACATTTTCAAAGGCAGCTCCTGTGTGTGTGTGTGTGTGTGTATGTTTTACTATATTGCCCGAGTCACATACAAAATATTAAAAATCACTTCATCTCCAAAATCCTCATAGAGTGTTCCTCGCCTGCCAAGTGTTCCTACCGAGCAAAGCCCAGGCCTAGGGCTGGAAGCTTTAGCTCCAAATCCAGCCTGCCTTCCAGCTGTCTGTCTTCACCAGAGTCAGGAGCTTCAGGGTCTCCTAGCAAGCAGTTCACCCCCAGAGGCAGAAGACCGCCATCCGTGGTGCAAGGCTGCCGCAGACAAGCTGACTGCGCGGTCACGTGAGGCCGGTGGCAAGTCATGTGACCAGGCTCTCACTTGGGCCCGCAGAGAGGTGTGTTTCCTTGCACGGAGAAAGGACGGGAAGGACAGACACCTGAGGATCCACAGACCCAGGTGGGAGGAGCAGAGGGATGTTAAGGTGGGTGGGTGTCTCTCCATGATGCACTAGCCTGAAAACTAATTTTTCAGGCGCCCACAGCATTTGTTAGTAGAGAAAACAATCCCTCAGCCAACCGCGAGCGTCTTAGCCGGGTCTGTCTTTTGTCCAGGAGCTCGAGAAGCCGGGGGTCATCCCGCGAGAGGCATTCGTGGAGAGAAGCGGCGGTTGCTATTGGAGAAGGTGGGTGCGAGGCCGGCATTTGGCCTCCGTGGGAGGTGGTGGCTGAGATGCGGGTGAAGGAAATGCCTCGGGCGCTTCTACTCCCTCCTGCCTTCTGTGTTCAGCCTGGGCGTGGGGCCCTGTGCCGCCAGCGCCTCCTGACTCTCTGTTTCTATGTGCGGATGGGAACGGTGGGCATCTGGGCGGAATAGGCTTCAGAGGAGCCCAGCGAGGGGAAACGGTCAAGTAACAAGTCGTGTTCACCCATGGCGCTGGATCAGGAAAGGCAGGGGTGGGGATGGGGACCGGGGGCCACACTGCCACTCTCTTCCTCTCACCAAGTCGGCACCACTCTGCTGTCTTCTTACTGTCAGTATCCAGGCAGTGGGAATGACTGAAACCAGCTGCAAACTGGAGGAGGGTCAGGGAGGGGAAGAGAGGGGGACACATCTGCTTTTTGCTCCAAGGCTCCAGCTGGCTGGGAATGCAGGGAGGATTGAACCTCAACCTGGTCTGCACTAGGGAAGAGGGAGACTGTACGCATAGACCTGAGGGTAAGGAACCTAGGGTGCTTTGGGTCCTTCACGTAGGATTTCTTGTTGGGATACTCTAAGTTTCTCAACCCCCAAGAGGATTCCTGGATCTCAGCCCCTTGCAGCTCCCTCCCATTTAGAAACACAAGGTCAATTGGTGCTCCATGTGAGGCTCCTTCTCTCTGATATCCTGGGGTGCACAAGATGGTCATTCTGGGGGCTATCTACAGAAATTGTTTCATAGTCTCAGAGGTTCCCGTCTGCATCCCCCTTGCTCTCTTTCTTGTGTTGTGTTCTCTGCCCATTTCTTAAAATGCGTTCATTTGGTCCTATACTAGGTAGCAGCACCTTGAGAAGTCCTTGTCCTCTTTAAACTGAATATTCTTCCCATGATGCATGCACTGAGTACCAAGTGAAAGAAAATTGTTCCTGTGCTCACAACACTTCTGGCACAGAATGTGTGAGTTTTGCACATCAGGTAGTTCTCCAATTCTCTGAAGACACCAACTAGGTACCCTACAATTTAATTCAATTTTGACACTACCCAGAGTTTGTGCAGATCCCACAGGTTAAGGGATCAGTCCCACAAGCCTGCCCCCCACTTCAGATGAAAATCACAAGTAGTGGATCTCCAGGTTACCCACACTTCGGTCTGACTTGGCTACTAATTGAGAGTTCCCACAACCCCCTTCTCAGGTTTGATAATTTGCTATGAAGGCTTGCAGAGCTCGAGGAAATACTTAACTCACTGTTACTGCTTCATTATAAAGGATATAAATTAAAATCCAGATGAATAGGTACATAGGGCAAAGTCCAGAAGGGTCCCAAGTGCAGGAGCTGCAGTCCACATGGAGTTAGGGTGCATCACCTTCCCAGCACATGACTGTGATCACCAACCCAGAATCTCTGACATTTAGAATTTTTATGGAGATTGCATTATGTAGGCATGATTGATTAAATCATTGGTCATTGGTGACTGACTCAATCTCCAGCCCCTCACCTCTCCTTAGAGATCAGAGGGTGTGGCTTAAAGTTCCAAAAGTTCATGCCTTTGTCTTTCTGGTGACCATCCTTATCCTGACGCTATCTGGGGCCATTAGCCATCAGTTATTTCAATAACATACAAAAAGACACTCTTACCACTTCAAAGATTCCAACAGTTTTAGAAGCTCTTATGTCAGGAATTTGGGACTAAGACCAAATATGACAAAGGATGTTCCTATCATTACCTCTGTCACTCAGGAAATTACGAGGTTTTTAAGAGCTCTGTGCCAAGAACTTGGAAGAAAGAATTGTGGTTACCAGAGCCTAGGAAATGTATTGGGAAGGGGGGGCAGATAAAGAAGAGTTCATTGATGGGTACAAAAATACAGTTGGATAGAAAGAATATGACATAATGTTCCGTAACACAATACTGCGACTATAGTTAACAATAATTTATTGTATATTTCAAAGTAACTAAAAGATTTGGAATGTTCCCAAAACAACAATATGACAAATGAGGTGA